TGGGATTCAATGAGATGATCCAGCTTAAATGCTCAGCACGGTGGCTTAATAAGGGCCAATAAATGTCACCAGATGAAAATGTCACAGCTAAAAAGTTGCTGTCATATTTTATGATGTATCATAATAATAGTAGTAACTGCCATAATTTAGTGTTTAATATTAAATTAATGTCACTTATTTATGAGTCCCCAAGGGCTTTTCTGAAGTACTTTACAAATGTTCACTCATTTCGTTCCCACAAATCCCTGTTTAGCAGGCACAGTTAACATCTCCATTTTCAAAAGAGGAAACTGAGGCACAGGGAGACTGAGTGACTTGCCCTTGGTCATATTACTAGCAAGAAGTGTAGCTGGGGCCGGGCACGGTGGCTCATGCCTGTAATCCCAGCACTTTGGCAGGTTGAGGTGAAAGGAATGCCTGAGCCTAGGAGTTCAAGACCAGCCTGGGCGATATAGCGAGACCTCGTCTCTACAATAAATCAAAATAATTGGTCTGGCATGGTGGCAAGCGCCTTTAGTGATCGTGCCACTGCCCTCCAGCCTGGGCTACAGAGTGAGACCCTGACTCAAAAAATTTAAAAAAAACTGTAGCTGGGACTTGAACCCAGGTAGCCTGGGTTTGTCCAGTACAGGTTGATTATCCCAAATCCAAAATCCAAAATGCTTCCAAATCCAAAGCTTTTTGAGCACCAATATGACACTCAAAGGAAATGCTCATTGGAGCATTTTAAACTTTTATTTTATAGTTAATTTTTTTTAAACTTTTTTTATTAACTTGCAGTTTGGCCAGGTATGGTGGCTCATGCCTGTAATCCCAGCACTCTGGGAGGCCGAGGTGAGAGGACGGCCTAAGGAGAAACTAATCAAGACCTCATCTCTACAATAAAGCAAAAGATTAACCAGGTGTGGTGGCGCATGCCTGTAGTTCCAGCTACTTGGAAGGCTGAGGCAGAAGGATCACCTGAGCCCAGCAGGTCAAGACAGCAGTGGCCATGAGCAGCATGCCACTGCACTCCAGCCTGGGTGACTGAGTGAGATCCCCTCAAAAAAAAAGAACCAAATCTTACAGGTCATAGGTGGATCACTGGAGCATTTTAGATTTCAGGTTTTCAAATTTGAGGTGTTTAAACAGCAAAGTATAATGTGAATATTCCAAAATCTAGGTCAGGCATGGTGGTTCACGCCAATAATCCCAACACTTTGGGAGGTCAAGGTGAGAGGACTGCCTGAACCCATGGGTTTGAGACCAGCCTGGGCAACTTGGTGAGATGTCATCTCTACAATAAACCAAAATTTAGCCAGGTGTGGTGGAGCGTGCCTGTAGTCCCAGCTACTTGGAAGGCTGAGGCGGAAGGGTCACCTGAATCCAGTAGGTAGAGGCTGCGGTGGCTGTGAGCGTGCCACTGCACTCCAGCCTGGGCGACAGAGACTCCAACCAAAAAAAAAAAAAGATAATTCCAAAATCCAAAAAATCCGAAATCCAAAACACTTCCGGTCCCAAGTTTTCCAGATAAGGGATACTCAGCCTGTACTATGCTTTCCTCACAGCCACTCTTCTTCTGTGTGAAATGGAATGAGCTTCTCCTAGATCTGGGGCTAGTCACTGAGTGTTTCATCTCATTACACATCTGCAACATCAGTTTCTTCATCTGTGAAGTAGGTTTTTTAATAATTATTTTATTATTATTATTATCATTATTATTATTATGTGTAGAAGGTCTCACTATGTTGTCCAGGCTGGTCTCAAACCCCTGGGCTCAAGCAATCCTCCCGCCTCAGCCTCCCAAAGTGCTAGGATAGCAAAGCATGAGCCACTGTGCCCGGCTGAAGTGGGTTTTGGCTGGGATGCTTCATTTTTGCTCATTCATTTGATGTTTCTCCTTGGGATACTTACGGGTCAGGCATTGTTGTAGACACTGCGCTATGCAGTCTGCCCAGGAAACCATTTCTGCCCCTGTGGGGATAATAGTGTGGCTTTGTCAATAAAGAAAGCAAATAAGCATTGTATACATAGTGGTCCATGTAGTGCCTTCGAAGGTGGTAGGAGCTCTCAAGAAGTATGAAGTAAGGAAAAGGGAAGGGAGGCGGTGGAGATGGCACGGCCCTGAAACCCTAAGAGGTTCCGAAGAGGCTACCTCATGGAAAAGCAGACACTGCGGCAAAGAAATCATCTGGATCCAGGTAGAGGGAACAGCCAGCGCAGACCCTGAGGTGTGGAGCAGACATGGGTGGCGCAGAGTGAGAGGGAGACGAGTGAGACATGACAGGGGCCGATTGTGTGGGGCCTTGTGGGTCACAGGGCGAACTTGAGATGTGAAATGGAGCAGGACGGGGCAGGACCCGACTCAGGTGTTCACACCTGACCCAGCTGCTTGTGAGAAACAGACGGGAAAGAAGCCAGGATCGGGTGCCAGGGGATGTGAGGGGAGTGGATGAGATCCCCAAGGATCTGTTCCTCTGTTGAAGGAAAGAGAGGACGCTCAAAGGCCAATCTGACATTTCAAGATCAGAGAGAAGAGGAGGAACCAGCCAAGAGACAAGGAGTCAGCAGGGAGAAGGAAGGGGTCCAGGAGGTGTGGTGTGAAAAGGGAATGACCATTGGATGCCGGCGAGTCGAGCAAGGGGAAGCCGGGACAGTAACTACTGACCCAGCATCACGGAGGCCATTGCATTGATGATCTTGACATTCCAGGATGGGGAAGAGGGGCAAAGCCTTAAAGGGTTGGGCACAGTGGCTCACACCTCGAATCCTAGCACTTTGGGAGGGAGAGGCAGGAGGATTGCTTGAGCCCAGGCTGGGCGACATAGCAAGACTCTGTCTCTACAAAAATAAAAAAATCACCTGGGTGTGGTGGCATACACCTGCAGTTCCAGCTGCTCGGGAGGCTGAGGCAGAAGGATTGCCTGAGCCCAGGAAGGAAAGGCTACAGTAAGCCGCGATCGTGCCACTGCACTCCAGCCTGGGTGACAGAGTGAGACCCTAACTCAAAAGAAAAGGTTTAAGGGAAAATGGGAGCAGGAAATATGAAGACAGTGTGTAGACAGCTTTTCTGAGAAGTGTTACTACAAAAAGGAGTAAAGAAATGGAGCTGTAGCAGGAAGGGGAGACGAGGTCAAGAGAAGGATTGAGACGGGAGAGATGACACGGTGTGGGCTGACAGAATGATCCAGTGCCTGCCGTCAGGGAAACCGAAGGTGCAGCTTTGAGAGGGCAGAGTCTCTGCCGGGAGTGGGCGGGACGGGGGGAGCAGGGTGACAGGGGTTGTCACAGCAGGAAAGCCAGTGTGGGCGAGGGGCAGGTAGGTGGTAGATGGGGGGCAGGGCTCGTGGAAGTTCACTTCTCATCTCTTGTATTTTCTCTGCAAAATAAGAAACCAGAGGAGAGTGCTGGGGTGGAGGAGGTGGTGTGAGGGGCCGGGGTGGGGGAAGGGAGACGGTGTAAAATGGTTTTCTAGAGAAGAGGGGACACCAGAAACGTCATCTGACTGCCCCGCAGCATTAGGGGCCTGCTTGAGGGGAAAGATGACAGACTCGGAACACAACTGGCCCGTGAGGCTGTGCAGGTGCAAGAGATGGGAGGGTTGGATTTCGCCAGGGTCATGTGCAGGAGAAAGCCAACGGGGTCAAGGGCTTTAGAGATTAACCATGTGTGGCGCAGTGTCTCACACCTGTAATCCCAGCACCTTGGGAAGTGAAGGCGAGAGGACTGCCTGAGCCCAGGGGTTCGAGACTAGCCTGGGCAACTTGGCGAGACCCCCGTCTGTACAATAACTCAAGAAAAATTAGCCGGGCGTCGTGGTGCACGCCTGTAGTTCCAGCTACTTGGAAGGCTGAGGCGAAAGGATCGCCTGAGCTCAGCAGGTCGAGGCTGCAGAGGCCGTGAGCGTGCCACTGCCCTTCAGCCTGGGCGACAAAGTGAGACTCTAACTCAAAAAAAAAAGAAAGGAGGCTGGGCCCGGTGGCTCAGCCTGTAATCCCGCGCTTTGGGAAGCCGAGGTGAGTGAACTGCCTGAGCCCGCGGGTTTGAGACCCGCCTGGGCAACTTGGCGAGACCTCATCTCTACAATAAACCAAAAATATTAGCCGGGCGTGGTAGCGCGCGCCTGTAGTTCCAGCTACTTGGAAGGCTGAGGCGGAAGGATCCCCGGGCCCAGCAGGTCGAGGAGCGGCCACTGCACTCCAGTCTGGGCAACGGAGTGAGACTCCAACTCAAAAAAAAAAAAAGAGAAAGAAAAAAAGGAAAAACCGTATTAAAATTGTAACAGTAAGATGAAGACAAGTCACGTTTGACTTCCGCAGTTCCAAGAGGTGCTCGAAGCGGTTTCCATCAGCGGCCAGGCTCTTCTGAATACGGCGAACACCTCTTAACATCTCTTAAAGTGTGTTTCCATTTTTCTGTCACCGCCGGTGTATATCAAGTGCTCGGCCTGACCCGAG